TCTGTGGGGTCGTGGCCACACTGCAGATTAAAGCACCAGCCCTCAGATGCCAAGCCCCAACTGCATCTTCTAAGCCTTGTCTCACATAATTTTTTTTTAAAAAAGATTTGTGTTTTTATTTGAAAGAGTTACACAGAGAGAAGAGAGGCAGAGAGAGAGAGCGAGAGGTCTTCCATCCGCTGGTTCACTCCCTAGATGGCCTCAATGCCTGGAGCTGTGCCGATCTGAAGCCAGGAGCCAGGAGCTTCTTCTGGTGTCCCACGCGGGTGCAGGGGCCAAGGACTTGGGCCACCTTCCACTGCTTTCCCAGGCCATAGCAGAGAGCTGGATCAGAAGTGGAGCAGCTAGGACTCGAATCAGGGCCCATATGGGATGCTGACACTGCAGGTGGCAGCTTTATCCACTACACCACAGTGTCAGCCCATGCCTCACATAATTTTGAGAGTTGTCACCCAACTTACCATCTCCGATGTGAGTTGGCCAACCTGTTCTGTAATGTGCCTTGTAGTAAATGTTTTAGGCTGTGGTATAGTAAGTTAAACTTCGGCCTGTAGTGCCGACATCCCATATGGACCCTGGTTTGAGTCCCAGCTGCTTTACTTCCCATCCAGCTCCCTGCTAATGACCTGGGAAAGCAGTAGAAGATAGTCCAAGTGCTTAGGCCCCTGTATCCACATGGGAGACTCAGAAGAAGCTCCTAGCTCCTGGCTTCAGATCAGCCCTGCTCTGGCCATTGGGGCCATTTGGGGAGTGAATCAGCAGATGGAAAACCTCTCTGTCTCACCCTCTCTCTGTCTTGAACTGTACTTTTCAAATAAATAAATAAATCTTTTTTTTTTTTTTTTAAAGTCTCAGGTTTTGTAGGCTATAAGGTCTCTGTTGTGGGTGCTCAGCTCTCCTTTGTGCCTTGCAAGCAGTCAAATGCAGTACACAAACGAATCGGCATGCCTATGTTTTATTAAAATCTTATTTACAAAAATAAGGCTCTGTTTGGCCCGTGGTCCGTGGTTGACTATCTCCTAGACCAGGGTGGGGAATGTCTGGCCTACTGGCTGTCGTAGGCCTTTGCAATCATTTGGTCTGGGCCTGCCAAGGCAACCATAGGTGGGACTTGCAATGGAATAAGTTTATAGGAGGCTGATTTCTAAGTGGATACTTTTGTATAGCCTATGAATGATGTTACAAACATCCAAATGGCCATTGACAGAAAAAAAGCTCCACCCCGTCCTGGACCCGTTAAATGCATTCTCCTTTTCTTTGTCTCATTCTCATTGCATTCATAGGCTTTACTTTCTACTTTTGTGTCAGAAAATCAGGTTTCTAGAGAAGGGATCTTGTGTGTGCCTCATAAATACAGTTAGCTGATGGTTGTGGTATAGCTGTAACATCCTGGTCACAAGCTCTCTATCTCTTCCTTTCCGTTATTACCTAGGCTCCACTTCTCCAGAATCTAAAATCCCGTTGTGTGGTTTGTGTTGTGTTGTTTTGAAGACTGATTGATTTATTTGAAAGGCAGGTTAGAGAGAGAGGAAGCGGTAAAGAGAGATCTTCTGTCTACTGTTCACTCCCCAAATGGCCTCAATGGCTACGGCTGGACTAAGCTGAAGCTAGGAGCCTGGAACTCCATCCAGGTCTCCCACGTGGGTGGCAGTGTCCCAGGTACTTGGGTCATCTTCTGTTGCTTTCCCAGGTGCATTAACAGGCAGCTGGATCTGAAGCAGAGCAGCTAGGACTTAGCCAGTGCTCATATGGATGCTGGCATCACAGGTGGTGGCTTAACCCACTACACCACAATGCCAGCACTCTTTTGGTTTTTAAATAAACTTTTATTTCAGTACAACATATAAGAAGTATGTATGAGTTGTAAGTGTTAGAACTGGATGAGATTTTGTAGCATTGCTTCAAGAGTCCTTTTCTGGGTAGGTGGGGTGGGTAAAGAAGGTGGCACAGTGTGAGGTAACACATAGGGGGATACTCCAAGCCTGTAGTTTTGGCACAAGGACATTCGTGTTACAGGGATGTGTCCTCTAACTCTGAACTGAGAATAATTAGGTTAGTTGTTTAAGTTAAAGGCCCACTCAAAGCTGCTGGCTAAGATTTATTGGGGAGAAAGGGTGAAGTATTCAATAACCCAGATATGAGAATTGGCAAACTTCCTGTTCAAGGGCATTTAGAGGATTTAAATGTTGTATTTGAATTATTCAGTGAATTCTGATGTATGTCTTTGCAATTTTTAATTTTTCACAGTAGAATGCAGTTACGACCAGTACTTTGTATCTTTAAAATCAATTTTGGTGCTTGCTGTATCTCTCTGTAGTACATTTAGTAACTTTATGCAAATATAGGGAGATAGGTTTCGGATTTGAAATTATAACATTGAGTTGTAAGTTCCAAATTTACTTCTTACTATTTTTAAATTGTAGGAAAGTGGGTCCAACAGGTCCCTTGTCTGTGCATTAAGGAAAACATCGACTTTCCATACTTACAGGCCGGTTAGAGAACCAGGCAGGACAAGCGGAGAAACTCCCAGTGGTTGATTTTTACAGTGCCTCCCTGCGTGTGTAATCCAACAGTAGTAGTTTGCGACATTTTCCCAGCTTTATGTATGTTTACCCAGAGAGCCCTTTTCTTCCAAGCCCACTTCGCTGCTTGGCCATGTTGAATTACTGATTTCCATCCTGTCTGGAATAGTTTGTGCTAGCTGGTAAACCTGGTGTAGTGCAGTGACTTCAGTCATCTACACGTTTAACACTTCATTTCGCAGGCACCTACCATGTGGTAAGCACTGTTTTAACAGTGTGCTAACATTTCAATATTGATTAAAAGTCAGTCCATCTTTTACCCTTATAGGATCCTGACGGTGAGGCAGGCATTAATTTGAAAATATATGTGAGGCCGACGCCGCGGCTCACTAGGCTAATCCTCCGCCTTGCGGCGCCGGCACACTGGGTTCTAGTCCCGGTCGGGGCGCCGGATTCTGTCCCGGTTGCCCCTCTTCCAGGCCAGCTCTCTGCTGTGGCCCGGGAGTGCAGTGGAGGATGGCCCAGGTGCTTGGGCCCGGCACCCCATGGGAGACCAGGAGAAGCACCTGGCTCCCGGCTCCTGCCATCGGATCAGCGCAGTGCGCGCTGCGGCGGCCATTGGAGGGTAAACCAACGGCAAAGGAAGACCTTTCTCTCTGTCTCTCTCTCTCACTGTCCACTCTGCCTGTCAAAAAATAAATTAAAAAAATAAATAAATAAAAAAAAAAGAAAATATATGTGAGAACACTTCAAAAAGTTCATGGAAAATGGTATTAAAAGATGAGTATTTGGTGTAAAAAACCTTGAAAATCATGACCATTTTCTAATAATTTGCATTTTACATGAAGTTTTTGAAGATCCCATGTATATAAAATTATAGCACTATGTGAGTATTAGAATTATGTGATTATATGGAAGGAGGATTAATGTAGGCAGGAACATTTTAAAAGAGAAGGTATTCCTGAGAGAGTGACTGGGCGAAGAGCAGGGTATCCCGAGAGGAAGCTTGCGCTTAGACTGCATCGATGGAAATGCTGTGGCACATGTTGGGAGTGTGGACGGCTGTTGTGGTGAAGCAGGGAGCTGAGGTGGAGGATGCTGGCTACGTGTGCCAGGGCCATAGAAGGAAGCTGGTCTTCGGAACGGAAACAGACCCACGTGGTTTGAGCCAAGAATGTAACATGAATAGATTTTAATTAAATCTTCAAATAAGTTAGGGGAGCTGTTCTTAAAACTAGCCTTACACATTTTAAGAACTTTGAGTAGGAGCTTTTGTAACTCACACCTACTGTAGCATTTTTGTTAGTGGATTATTCTGAGATGGTAGTTTCATTCTTCATGAATTGGTAGGTGTTTGGGGAGTGACTTCAGACAGAGTCTATCCATCACTGTTGAAGATTTGTTTGTTTGTTTGTTTGTTTGATTTACTCAAAAGCCAGAGTGATGGAGAGACAGAGACACAGAGATCCTCCATCTGGTGGTTCACTTCCCAAATGGCCACAATAGCTGAGTATGAACCAGGCTAACCCCAGGAGCTGGGAATGCATTTGGGTCTCCCACATGGGTGGCGGGGGCCCAAGTTCCTGGGCCGTCTGCTGCCTTCCGAAGCGCGTTAGCAGGAAGCTGGATTGAAGCAGGGGAGCAGGGCCTCAAAGCAGTGCTCCAGTCTGGGACGGCGGCATCACAAGTGTGGTTTGACCCCCTCTGCCACAGTGCTGGCCCCTGTTAGAGATTTGTGTAATGATAGAAAAAGCCAAGTAAATCAGTACCCTAACTTCACCACCGGCTCTAGAGACTAATGGCTTAAAGATGTTCCCAGATCTAGTTGAGTTTTAGATCTTGAAATTAAGGGTTAATGATAACCGAGTTTTAAATGGACTATAGAAAATTACTCCTCTAAGGCACATTGTAACTTTTATTTTGGTTTCTTAAATTTATTTCTTCAATCTTTTGAACTCAATGTATATTTTAAGGTTTGTTGCCTACTAAGTTATGATTTGAGTGCATAGAGAAGCTGGATTTGGCTTTATGTAATGTATTTTAAAATAAAACTGAACTCTTTCTCATTTTTTTAATAAACGGGATCAGAGATGCTGGTTTTCGAGATCAGGTCACGTGTGAGTAGAACACAGATCTTCCATGAGGGCACCGTGAAAGAGAAGGTGCCGTTCATTTCTTCTCCAGAGTGCCCTTTGGCAGATACCTGAGGGGCTGAGGCACGGAGAAGAGTGCGGACTCAGCTCAGCCTTCTTCTGGTTCCACTGCCATAGGCCCCTAACCGCTCACCTCAGTTCCCATGCCTCACAAATGGAGGATGGTGCTTTTTGTTGTCCCTTTTTAGAGCACCCGGGAAGTAATCGGTGAATAGTCCTCTTATTGTCATCATCATGAACTGTTTGTTCTAGCTTGCACAGTGACTGTTGACATTTTATGGTGTAGTTATAGCTTACACATTTTTTTCCATTTTTTTTTTTTAAGGAGAAATTGTTGTAAATGAAGTCAATTTTGTGAGAAAATGCATTGCAACAGACACAAGTCAGTATGATCTATGGGGAAAGCTGATATGCAGTAACTTCAAAATCTCCTTCATTACAGATGACCCAATGCCCTTGCAGGTATGTTTTGCTTGTACACTGTTTAATTGTGTCAGGGTGTGTGACGTACTGTAAGTAGTACATATTATTATAAGTCAGTGTGGAAAAATTATAATACAATTATTAGTAACTGATAAAATGTTGGGAATGCATTAAGATTCAAAATAAAGTTTGAAAAGAATGTTGGGATTTTAATAAGCAATAGAATTAATGAGGAGATTTAAAAAAAAATACCTTGCTTTGTTTGTTCTCTGTGATCATTGATATATAGGATATATAACCTTTATGTAAAAGGGAATTACTTTCTTCCAAATCTTTCAACCTGCTTATAAAAACAAACATATTTTGGTTTTTATTTTTTTTTAATATTTTTTATTTATATACTTGAAAGGCAGAGTTATAGAGAGAGGGAGAGAGGGAGGGAAGGAGACAGAAAGATCTTCCATCCACTGGTTCATTAACCCAATGGCTGCAATGGCTAGGACTGGGCCAGACTGAATCCAGGAGCCAGGAGCTTCTTCTGGGTCCCCCACGGGGGTGCAGGAGCCCAAGAACTTGGGCCATCCTCTGCTGCTCTCCTAGGCACATTAGGAAACTGGAGCAGAAGTGGAGCAGCTGGGACTCAAACCAGTGCCAATACAGGATGCTAGCATTGGAGGCTGCAGCCCAGCCTGCTGCGCCACAGCGCTGGACCCTCCTTTTTTTTATTAGTCAAAAGAACTTAATTAACAATTTTTTTTATGTTTTATGGGTTTTATTTTTTAATTAATTCATTCTGTTCTCAAAACATCAGATTCTAATTTCTAGTGTATAACAAGAATGAGGAAAACTATTGATGAGCTCTTTCTTTAATAACCTTTGAACTGGGACCAGTTTTGTGGCATAGTAGGTTAAGCCATAGCCTGTGACACCAGCATCCGTTTTGGGCACTGGTTTGAGTCCCAGCTGTTCTACCTCTCATCCAGCTCCCTGCTAATGTGCTTGGGAAAGCAGCAGAAGATGGTCCAAGCACTTGGGCCCCTGCACCCATGTAGGAGGCCTTGATGAAGCTCCTGCTTCTGCTTGGCCCAGCCCAGGCAGTTGTGGACATCTGGGGAGAGAACCAGCGGATGGAAGATTCTCTCTCTCTCTCTCTCTTTCTCTTTCTATGTAATCCTTTCAAATAAATAAATAAATCTTAAAAAGAAAAAAACCTCTTGAACTATTATATTCTTACTGAAAAGCAAAGTTTATTTTTAAAAAAGTTTTAGTCATTGATTTCATTTACAGGTCCTGGACTTTTCTTTCAGCTCTTTTTCTTTTGATTTATAAAGTGTTACACACATTTGTTCCCAAGATCTCTATTTATTATAGTAATTGTTGTCTAATGAAATATTGCTTATTAACCATAGACTTTGCATTGAATGGTCTCACTGTGGATAACTATTTTTCATATAGTCATTTATTAATTTATGTGCTTGTTACAATTTATGTGTTTATTACAGTCTTCTGTAGGTATATTTAGAATAAACTTGAGGTATTACCAATACGTTGTATATAAAGATACTGGCTTATTGGATGTAGACTTGGGTTTTTCCTTAGGTTTTTTTTTTTGTATCATTATGATCTCTGGCCCTAGCATTCAGTGTAAATGAGCAGCATATACCTGGAGCAGCTTAAATCTGGTATCATTAATAGGAAAAACAAACCAGTTCCCTGCTGCCAGCAAGTTGAAATTCTCTGTCAACTGTGTTCTTAGTTTGAAAAATGAGTATAAAACATTGATTTAACAGGGGAAAAAAATGTTATAGTTTGTCAAAAGCTTTTTCTGAAGTATTTTTTCCTGGTGGGCTTTCTGCTCTAAGAAGATATTTTCTACTCTTAAAATCTCCATTATGAAAATCATGTATGATTTTACCCCATTGTAATGCAATGACCTAGGAGCCCCTTTTTCTTCATTTTTCATTTTGTAATTAATTAATTTATTTGAAAAGCAGAGTTAGAGATCTTCTATCTGCTAATTCATTCCCCAAATGGCCTTAATGACTGGAACTGGGCTCCAGGAGCCAGGAGTTTCTTCTGGGTCTCTTACATGGGTGCAGGGGCCCAAGCACTTAAGCCATCTTCTGCTGCTTTCCCAGGCACATTAGCAGGAAGCTGGATTGGAAGTGCCGCAGCTGGGACTTGAACCAGTACCCATATGGGAAACCAGTACTGCTCCAGAACCAGATATACAGATGTTTGCCTGTGAAGTGCTTGGGTATTATAATAATATTGTGCTACACATTTGAACATAATTTCCACCTCTTTTTAATAGAGTGTGGAGAGAAAGGCGGAGAGAACATGATTTTAACATGCTTCTTACTCCTGCAGTGTGCTCTAAGATACTGTGTCCTCAGAATGGTCCTAGCTGCACAGGGAAAAGCTTCCTGTGCTTTTTAGAAATCGCTGTTACAGTTTCTCATCACATGTAAACATAAGGCTTGTATTATCATTGTGAGGTTACTGGGAAAAAATTTATGTGAACATTTTTTATTTCAGAAATTCCATTATAGAAACCTCCTTCTTGGAGAACATGATGTCCCTTTAACATGCATTGAACAAATTGTCACAGGTATGTAGTATTCTGTACATATTGCTCTAATAAAAATGGGCTCTGCGCTGGAATTCTTCTTTAAAGAATCATACCTTTTAAGTACTTGAGTTGGAATTTTGTTTCTGTAGATTTACTGATGTGTTTTTTTAGTCCCTTGAACGTTAACTAAGAGAGGGAAACTGAGAAAATTATTTTAAAACGGAGATACAGATTGTACAGCTTTTTATAAAAGTTTCAATATTTTGTCCTCTTTTAAATTAAAAGTTTAATCATTAAATGTATGTAGATGGTGGTGGTTGCATGCAGATTATATTTTAAAGTATCTTCAAAAGCAAACTCAAAATAGACCCCAAAGTTCTAGGAGTTATAGACAAATACGAAGGTTGCAGAGAAGCAGTGGTCAAGTGATGGGTACCTTTCTACTTATTTTCACTGAGAAATCGTGAAAGTGTACAAAATGTAAGTAACAAAAAGTTTTCACACGTTTTTTCTATATTTTTTCCTTTTAGTAAATGACCACAAGAGGAAGCAGAAAGTCCTAGGCCCTAACCAGAAACTGAAATTTAACCCAACAGAGTTAATTATTTATTGCAAAGATTTCAGAATTGTCAGATTTCGCTTTGATGAATCAGGTCCTGAAAGTGCCAAAAAGGTAAAACTGTTAACTTGACCCAGTCCTGGGCTCCTCGCTGTCTTGGTGTGTGGAAAGCTTCATTCCTTAATTGCTTAGATTTGTTTTATGGGAAATTATCAGATGTCTCCTCGAGTAAAACAAACCCAAGAGTATTAACCGCTATTTTCTTATATTAGTTTATAGCTGCTTTAAAACATGCTATATAATTTTCTCGTCAACTCCTAAAATATTCTGGATCTAATGGGGAAATTTACAGACCTTTTTTAGACTGGTAGTGGCTGGTGTCCTTGGTTGCAGGGTTGAAGATGTGCTGTGATTGGGATTTGGTAAGGTCTTTAATTCATTCCACAAAGTGAAACAACTGAGAACTTGACTCAGGTTACATAAGAGCTGGGCGAGTTATGGGAGAGGCCTAGTAATTATTAGAGCTTCAAGGAAATTTTAATAAATTGATTTGAATGATACTTGACAGAGGTAGCTCAAAACTGGGAACTTTTTTTGGTTAAGATTTATTTATTACTATATTCCTAAATCTGTAAATATGAAATACATGGAATTCGTATACTTCAAATAACATTTTTAATTTTATTTATTTATTTGAAAAACTGACAGAGATCTTCATCTATTGGTTCCTTCACCAAATGGCTACAGCAGCTGGGGCTGGGCAGGCTAAAGCCAGGAGCCAGGTGCTCCATCTGTGTTTCCCGCATGAGTGGCAGGAACTTAAGTGTTTGAGTCATCATCCACTGTTTCCTAGGCACATTAGCAGGGAGCCGAAAAGGAAGTAGAGTAGCCGGGACTCAGACCAGCACTTTAATATGGGATGTGTGTATCCATGTAGGGGCTTAACCTGCTGTGCCTCAACACCCACCCCAAAGCTAGGAACTTTTTGTTTGATTTTTTTCCCCTTTGCCTTCCAGAATGTTTATTGCCTGATCATGAAGTAAATTCAAGGGCAAACATCTCCACTTCGCTATATATTCCAGCTCTTGCCAGCAGGGTGAAGCCTGTAGACCCCATGTCCCTCTGTCAATCTGTGATGCAGCAAATGTGAAGAACAGTGACAAAATTCCCAAAGAAAGCCTCCTCCCGTGTACTGGGAATAGAGCAACAGTGGAATAGGAGTGACTTTTTCTCAGAACTGAGGCAGCTCTGCACCACCAAGCAGTGGATGCATTTCCTTCTCATGGTCATTAGACTGCAGTGACATTTCTTGTGATGTCAAAATGAGAGGTCTAAAAGATCTTAAGGCAGCTGTCTCCATTTACTGCGATGAGGAAGTGGTAGATTTGCTTCCAGAACTAGAAGCAACAGTTCTCCCGCCACCTCAGACCTAGTTTCTTCATAGAGAGTCAGCATGAGGTGGAAGGCTGTCTGAAAATACATGACCATGGGGACTGTCCAGCAGTGTCACCATGGGCTGGCTGTGAGACTGAGTTTTTGAATAGAGTCTGTGTAACCAGCTCTTGGCACGCTCCCATTGACGATTCGATAGGTAACTGTGATGGCCCCTTTGAGCGCTTTGATTCCGATATTTGTGACTTTGGCTTTTTATAGTGTGGTATGCCTTTTCTGATACAGAAGGACTTTAGAATTAATTAAGTAGTAGACTATATGTAAAATATTTTAGCCAGGTTACTTTCTCAAACTTGTAATCTAATTGATCAAAGCATCAAGAACTTGCTTGTGACAACTCTAACTTGAAATGTATAATATCTCAAGAGAAGGGATGTTGCAGAACTTGGGAGTCAGAGTTAGGACAAGACATTTTGAGTAGGGGATTGATACTGGTAGCCCAGTATTCTTTTGGGAAGCTTAACTCACTCTTACTCCCTTACTGTATGTTTCAGATAACACTTTTTTTTTTTTTTTTTAAATAGAGAGTGAGCTGCTATTTACTGGTTCCACTTCCCAAATGTCCACAATGGCCAGACTTGGGCCAGGCTGGTGCTGGGAGCCAGGAACCCAGTCCAGGTGGCAGGGACTTGGTCACTTGAGCTATGTTCTGTTGCCACCCAGGGTGTGCATCAGCAGGAAATTGGAATCAGGAACAGAGTTGAGACTTGAACCCAGGCACTCTGATGTGGGTACAGGTATCCCAATTGGCATCTTAACCCACAAGTCTAATCGCCTGCCCCAGATGACACTATTTAACAAGTAGAAATCATAATTATTTGACTTAGTTCATGAGCCAAAAAATGGGTTATTTTTGATGTGTGAGTCAGTGTGCTCAAAAATAGGAAAAAGGTAGATGCTGTTTGTTTCTTTAAAGAGTTTAAGTCTAGTGGAGAAGATGAAGCAGGGGCAAATGGAGACTGCATAGCATAAAAATGTTCCCACACAAATGATTAGTTGCCAAATGAACAAAACATAATAAGTCCTCTGAAAATTCAACGTATCCCTTGTTTGTTGTGCTTCTGAGAATAATGAAGGCCCTCATTGAACCCTGTGCACAAGCTGCACCAGCTGGTGCCCTTTCCCAAAACCAGGATTCGGACAAAAGTCCTTTCCCTGGGGTCTGAAAGTATAAACAGCACGTTACCTCAGGCCTGAAAGAAATACTCTGTGTCTTTTGTGTAGTCATGGGGAGGGAAATACAGGAAAAACATACAGGCAATTAGAATAAAAATTTTCCTAGATTTACATATTTTCACACACAGAGAGTTGGTTATATGTGGCTACCAAAGTCTGGTGGCTTTCTGAGATAAAACAGAAATGCTGGCACACTCTTATTTCAAATGAAAGCTTTCATCTAAAATTAGGTAACTTGGAAAGTTACAGCTCAATTTTACCTCCTAGAAGCTTTGAATACTAAGTTTTCTCTGGAAAAAATGCTTTGATTTTATAAGTTGTCTTAAAATGACGAGATGCATGTTTGGAGTTTTCTGATGGGTGATTGATTAGGTTTTGAAATACTGAAAGTTTTGCAGTTTTTGTTTGAAATATGAAATCTCAAAATACTAAATTAGTTCACATTTGTTAAATGTTGTTCTAAAACCTTCTGGGTGTCTAGTCAGTGTCTCAATTTATATCATGATGAAATTAGATTATTCTTCAACTATATCTATTCATCCTCATTATCCTTGGACTGTCATGGGAAAACGATGTTTGCGAAAAGTTTGTGTAAAAGAAGGGATGTAGTGATATAGAACTTGACATCTAACCTCATGGCAACATTGAGCCACCATTTCTAGCTGAAGAAACTTTGCTTAAAGTTGAGGGGCCAAAAATGTTTTTAAATAATGACTTATTGCTTACAAATATATATATATATACATATATATATATACACATATCTATCTATATCTTTATATATATAGTTGGTAAGTGGAATGTATATGCTTTGTCTCTGCTTTATTCTCAAATTAGTTGGTTATAAACCACACCTTATTCAGGCGTACTTTCTAGAAATGAGTGGTTCTTTGGAGGAAAAAACAAGTTGGCTTTTTCTTAAACTATCATTTTTACCTTGAATATTATATTTAATCCTTGGTTTTCAGACCAAAGTAATAGAGGAAAACTGGTTTGTTTGCAAATGGGATGGAACTTGTTGAGATTTGAGTATCTCCTGTGATTGAGCTTCTCCAGTCCTGTACCACCACATTGTCTTAGAGGAGAAGCTGTGAACTATGGGTACTTCTGGCTCTGTCCAGAGAAGTGTCTGCTGTGGTCCAAAAATTCCTTCTTTTTTAAAGTAGATTAATTTTTTTCTGCAGTAAAATATTTTCCATAATTTAATGTCTTTAACACCAGCATTCTTATCATTTCTTATGATAGGGCACCTATTTCAAAGCCAATTTTTAAAGATAGTTTTTCTAAAAATTTTAATGTTTAGGGAATAACTATGAAATTGGAATGAGTTTACATGAAATGAGAACTTATTTTTAAGTCTTTCAAAAACTCAGGAGAAATTTGCTGCAATTTTTTTTAATTGTATGAAAAAGTTCAGAAAGAAAGACACTTGGCTTTCTCTTCAGAGGGTTCTGTGGTAACAACATGAATGTAATCCATGTCCAGTCAGATACACAAGTTTATGTGCCTTTGTGTCCCCAAAGATACCCCTTACCTCAGTTATATGAAAAGGCTGTCTGTGCACCTGTAGTCAGACCACCAAACAACAGTACCTGCGGTTCAAGCTGTGTCCCCTCACCCCACAAATCACCCACTGCGGGAGCAGTTACACTGAGTGCTAGTTTCACAGTATTTTTTTCTTTCTTTAAGTGCAGGTGATATTAAACATTCTCACTTCCTAACCTAATGAGATACAGTGCTTTTTTAAGGGACTTTTTAGAAATAGATTGTGTTGGGTTTTATCTCGCCGATAGGCTTTGTTTTGTTGTTATTCTTGATGCTTTTGCTTTGTGACCACAAAAAAAAGTTGTATAGTCAATGATCTGTGAATTTCTTTTATGTAAACAGGGCTTGTGACTGCTTTCTAACTGTCTTAGAGAATGTGATAGACTAGTATTAATTGATGTAGAGCACTGTGGTAACTAATTTTGTCAACTAGTATTTTTAATACAGCTGCTATTAGACACAAAGCACCCTCAGAGGGCTGCTGACCCGGAGCTACAAAATGCCCTGGTCTCCAGGCCGGTGCCCGTCTGCAGAGGCCCTCAGCCCAGTGTCCACGTCTGCAGTCTCCTTTCTTCTGTTCTCACTGTAATGCTTCCTCATGCCTTTCCTGCCCTTTTTGTCTGTGCCTCCTCTAGCACTTACAGTTGTCTGATTCACTGTATTTTTTCTTGTTTGTCTTAGTCAGTGTCTGTCTTCTCCACTAGAATATAAACTTCATGGGGACAGGGATTTGACTTTCATTCACTCCATCCTTGAGGCTTTGAACATGGTAGGTGCTCAGTAGTATTTGTTGAATGAGTAAGAAATGTGGCATCTCCTCTTAAGTGATTGAACTTGATGGTCGAAGTGTAACAACTACCCCTGTCCTACTTTTACTCCACACTATTATGTGAGTACCTTGAAAGTACAGTTCTGTAAGCACAAATAATTAGTGCCACTTTGTGTTGGAATTGTCATTATTTGGAGACAACAGAAGGGTTTCTGAAAGTAATACTCTGAAAGTGGTTCAGCCAGTGAAGGCTTGTGGAGGGAGTGGTGTGGGACAGAATGGATAGTTCCAACATGCTTGGCTGAGAGGAGTAGAAGGAGTTCCCAACCCAAGAGTGTGACAGAGGAGGTGGCTGAGGCTGTGAGATACGTTCATACGTGGTTTTCTCTGACCACGAACTACTGAGTTGAACATTGGGAAGAGAGGGGTGACCAGTGAGGAGAGCCAGTTTTATGAGGAGTCAAGAATAAGGGAATTTATTGTATAGGTATCTGGGAAACATAGAAGATACCAAGAGAGCACAATTATTATTCCAAATGACGTCTTTCGAAGAGAATTCTTAAGTAATGTGGATTTCCAGGATGTAGGGAAGCCTATTAAAGTGTCATAATGTAAATATGGCTTAAGGATGTAGCTATGGCAGTGTAGTGAAATGGGCCGAAAAATTTGTGGAGAAAAGTACAACAAAGCTTACAAGCTAAATATCGTGCCCAAGGGGATAGGAAGAGGTGACTTTTTCAAAGTACAGATTTCAGTAGTTTTGCTACTATAAGAAGTACTTCGAGGAAGACTGTTTGATAGAGTAGGAATGGGAATGTAGATAACCGTCTTCTTACTTTTCTAAGTGGGACCCTTAGAGAAAGTTCTAAAGATATTGAGAAGTTGAGATACTGTGTAAGAGGAAGTTTGTTTTGTTTTGTTTTTTGGTTGGAAGTAGTGATCAATTTCATTTCCTTGGTTGCCTGTTATAATTTAGTCAGACAAGAAACATTTATTCCATGGAAGATATTTAACATATAAAATATAGTTTAAATAATAAACTGACACATGTTTTGTGGTTAATAGAATTTATATCAAGTCACTCAGAACACCACTAATTTGACAAAACTAGTGACTAAACTTTTCTTGCTCACTGTCCAGAGTATGTTGTCTGGCTTAATGCTTTACCTTCTAAGTGATACTTAACCTTGTTTACATTTTGCTGGACCCTTCTTGCATATGTCTTACAAAATTTCTTCTTTCTTCTCTGCTCATTTAAGAACTTTTTCTCCCACAGTCTAGTTCAGGATTTGTAAGCATAAAGTACCATCCTTCATTCTATCCAACAGCAGTTGAAAATAATAAAAACCCAAATTCCATAAATGGAGCTCCTCCAAAGGCCAAGCATACAGTAAGATTATCTTCACCACGCCTAGGTATTATTTTCTAGGTGAGCAGATTGGCTGAGAGAGGAACTGACTTCACTCCAGTTACATAGCGAGTGCTCGATGGAGGAATTCAAACCTCGATCCGTTTCCACCTCAGGACGTAGTCCCCCACCACTGTAGTCTAACCAGGTTTTTTTGATGTACCTCTTTACAGCCACCCATGTATTTTGGGTTTCTTTATTTTTTGTGGTTGTGGACTTTATATTAGACTTTTTTGTCCATGAGGTATAAACTGTAAAATTGTATGCCGTGTGTGTGTGCATATATATACACCTTTCCAGTCCATTCAAAATGAAGCTTTTTTTTTTTCCTTTCTTTTTGGTGAGTGGATATGTTCTCACTGCCTTTCTGGAGACTGCTTCTGTGACTTTACAGTTCCATTTACTGGAATAAAATTACTTTTCTGTTAAAATTCAACTTACTATATGCATACTGAATACTTACCGTGTACTGATTAAAGATTTAGCAGTATCCTGAGGGCACATCAGTGAATGAGAAACTTGGCCATAAGGGGCTCTTTCACATTCTAGGTCAACAGAAAAACCTGTAAATAGTATCTGTAATCACTGCCCCATGGTGATGCTCCCAGTGACCAAGGCCTTATTGTACATTTCATTTAACTAAGTGTGTTAAAATCAAATTCTAAATGTAGAATTTTTCCTAGGTATGCCTTGCAATAGCTCATTATTCCCAGCCAACAGACCTCCAGCTACTCTTTGCATTTGAATATGTTGGGAAAAAATACCACAATTCAGGTAAATATGAACATATTGAATATTGTAACTAATTTTACATGTATAAATTTTATTCTTATGTTTATCAGAAGCCTCCAAGCACATGAAACTTTAATAAACAGATTCATAACTGTTAGAGAAGCACTGTATACTAAAAGAACCAATATTTGTCAGATTCTATTTTTTTAAATTTATTTATTTATTCGAAAGTCAAAGAGGGAGATGGAGAAATGTAAAGAGAGAGATCTTCCATCCGCTGATTTACTCCCCAAATGGCTGCAACTGCCAGGCCCAAGCCAGAAGCTTCATCCATGTCTCCCATGTGAGTGCAGGGGCCCAAGCACTTGGGTCATTTTCTGCTGCTTTAGCAGGGTGCATTAGCAGGGAGCTGGATCAGAAGTGGAGCAGCCAGGACACAAACTGGTGGCCATATGGAATGCCGGCATCACAGGGAGAGGCTTTATCCCCCTACACCATAACCAGATTGTTTCATGAAAAGTGGTCAGGAAGAACCTTAAATGACTATAAATGTGGTCTTACAAGATTCATGTCATTTTTTAAAAATTTATTTATTCAAGAGACAGAGTTACAGATAAATAGAGATGAGAGAGTGAGATCTTTCATCCACTGGTTCATTCCCCAAATGGCTGCAACAGCCAGAGCTGGGCCGGTCCAAAGCCAGGAGCCAGGAGCTTCTTCCGGGTCTCTGATGTGGGTACAGGGGCCCAAGCACTTGGGCCATCTTCCGCTGCTTTCCCAGGCCATAAGCAGAGAGCTGGATTGTAAGAGGAGCAGCCAGGGCATGAACTGGCACCTGTATGGGATGCTGGCGTCACAGGCAGAGGCTTAGCCCACTACACCACGGCACCTGCCCACCACATCAAATATTTTACCGCCAGTCACTTACTTGCCTTTTATGATGAAGAATAAATCTTCAGCCCATTTTAATTGGTCGCACAGGTTAAAATAATCTTACTTTTTAAGAACACTGGCAAAAATCTAAAAAGTAGTTGAAAAGCATGATCTTTTCTGGCAAGGTATAATTTCATACAAAAGCTGAAGTGGTTAAAAATTTTAATGGATTTCATTAAGATTGCCAAAATACTGACTTTGTGTTTCTGAGTAAGAGTAATGAAAGGAAGATGAACATTTATCCAAATGACAGAATTTTGTGTAAGTAGAATAGTTTTGTCTGCATTATCTGGGTCAGCTGTGATGTCACCAAGGAAAATTCTAGAGGAGCTTGTGATTCTGTACTTTCTAATTATATACAGATATAATTTTAATAAACTTTTTAAAATCTTACAAAGATAGAGGAAAACAAAAAGGCTGTGTCTTAGCCCACATGTGGGTTAATGACTGCAGGTCAGCTAGATTGAAGCACACGAAGTCAAATAAATCAGTCTGTTGTATAATGAAAGACTCATTCATTGCAGCCTGGTCTGGGTCTTACAAATTATTAATAACTGTACTGGACTTTTATATCTTGTTACTTTGAACCCTGTGATAATAATCTAAATAACCTACAAAATAAAAGTATATTCCAACATCACTGTATTGTAAATACATTAAAATGTAGTATTGGTACTCAGTGGATGGTGTAAGTACATTTTTATTATGTTAAAAGATATCAAGACTAAAGAGATGTTATATGCAAAAATGCTTTGCAGAACAACTTGTGTCTTATAGTGCAATATAGAAATTGGATGAAAAGTATTGTGACTTAATTTTTCTTTTCAAAATGTACACTAGTTATAGCTTAGACTTGAACAGTACATTTGCATTTTTAAGTTTATTTCTGAATATAAACTAAATTCACTTATTATCTTAAAGTAGTATAGTTCCTGCACTGTTAGGTAGGTGTTCCTTTGGGTCATCATCAGGCTTACAGAATGGTGATCACCAGTTACCTTCAATAAGATCCTTTTGCAAAGTTGCAAGAGAGTAGCATTGAAAGTTTCAAGGGGTCTATGGACGAGTTGAAGGAGACAGTCTTCAGTTCCCACTTAAACTTGTTTATGAAACAGACCAGTTCTTCATGCTACTATTTTTCTAATAGAAATGATTTGGTCCGGTGTATAGACCCATGACTGGTGCAGTAATTTAATGACTTGGGCTTAGCAAATGCAGTAAACTGTTCCACAGTTGGTAACCTGATGCCTCCTCTAAATTGTTTTTCACGTTTCTCTTCCTTCATTCCTTTTAGGCATCTTAGATTTATAATGCTTCAAACAGTTAAAAACCAAAGTAGCTCCTCTCCTACTGGGTTTTCTATTAGTCAGTCCTCTGTTTCTTCTTCTATAGTTTACTGGTAAAACTTAATACCTAAAACATTCAGCAATACCTTTTTATATTACATTCTTCAAACCCGTCCAACTTTGACAAGTACTTCATGAACATAACACTGGCCAAAGTTGTGTTAAGATGACTCATAGGATAACATCCTTTAATATCCTTCCATGCTGTTACAGAAGCATAAACTGCATCTTTAAGATCAAAAGAAGCCTGAAATTTCCACACACTACAGTCAGAATTCATTAAATTGTGAGTGAAAGATGCCCAATAATCTACTCTTGAACTTCTGGATGACACCTTGATTCATTGCCTGGATTAAAGGAGTCCTTTTTGCAGGCAGGTAGGTGGCAATGCTATTTCCACAGTAAAATCTGAAATTAGAAGATGCCCCTGCAACTGTTTAAGAAAAGAATCTTTTACCTGACCTTAAACATTGTGAGATTTTCTTTCACAAACCTGCATCACAAGAGTAGAAACCATTTCTGAAAAGTTCAGCAGTCATCCAAACACTTCTGTGGGTGTCCTGAGTACAGGAAAATGTGTAGCAACCACAAGGTTCAGAACTTTGCTGCACACAGACGCCACGGGAGCACTAGCAACAACAGTGATTTCTGTTTTTTCTTTTCACCTTGAAAAGAAACCATGAGAACTCTTTTCATTGATCAGATTATTATTGGGCAAAGATTTTTAAAAGTAGAGATATATCTTTGTTATAAAATTGATAAGGTGTCAGATTATGCTTCTGGACTAAAGAATTTTTTTTAAAGATTTATTTATTTACTTGAAAGAGTTACAGAGAGGCAGAGGCAGAGAGAGAGAGAAAAAGAGAGAGAGGAGTCTTCCATCTGCTGGTTCACTCCCCAAACGGCCACAATGGCTGGAGCTGGGCCAATCTGAAGCCAGGAGCCAGGAAATTCTTCCAGGTCTCCCATGCAGGTGCAGGCTCATGGGCTTGGGCCATCCTCTAGGCCTTTCCCAGGCCGTAGCAGAGAGCTGCACAGGAAGTGGAGCAGCTGGACTTGAACCGGCGCCCATGTGGGATTCTGTCACGGCAGGCGGCAGGTTTACCCACCATGCCACAAGCACCGGCCCCTGGACTAGAGTCATTGAAAACCGCCTGACGTTGTTTGTAGGCTCAGTGCCAGCAGCTCTGCCTCCTAATGGAACTGCTTATGAATACTGTGGTGAGGTCTGAGGTTACATTGTGGTTGCACATCAGAAAATGCACCTTTTCAGTGAAATTTATTTTTAAATTTTATCCTTTATGTTAACACAGGTCTTAGATTTTTGTTTGAATCGTTTTTTTAAAATACTTAATCCATTTGAACCATTGTAGGAATTTTTAAAGTTTGTTAATTGTCAGTTCTTTTACCACTCGTGATTAAATCAGTCAGCCACAGGCATCAGAATCACTTTGGGGCCTTTAGAAACGCAACTACGTAGGTTCACCACAGGCTCATTAAGTCAGGATATCCCCTTTAAGAGCCACTTTCTTTCTCTTTTGAACACAGTAATGATCACAGTCCTCTTTTTACCTTCTTCTGCAGTGTCATTAATGTGGTAGTTTTCTTTTCCTGTGTGAACCATGCGCTGGCTCGCTCAGCTCTCACTCCTTTCCACTGGTTTCACTCCCTTTTCCTACGTGAACCACGCACTGGCTCGCTCAGCTCTCACTCCTTTCCACTGGTTTCACTCCCCAAACGCTCAACAGCCAGAGCTCGAGCTGGGCGTGGGAGCTCAGCCGAGATCTCCCATGTGAGTGGCAGGAGCCTAATTATTTGTACTACAGCCTGCTGCCTCCAAAGGTTTATATTGGCAGAGAAACTGAAGTTAGGGTCTCTCGCCAGGAATCAAACCCAAGTACTCAATGTGAAGGGAGTGACTGCTAGACTAAAAACCTAGTCCTGACCACTGTTGTTATTGATCCTGTTGCTTGAGGCCAAACTGATAATAGTGGACCGAATTAGCTGGAACCTCTAAAAATTAACGGGAAATCTAGGCTTAGACTTCTAAATTAGATCACAGAGAAACAGTTTCATAGCAATAACACATTCTCAGCCTTGCTTAACAAAATCTTCAACTCAGAACACTAAAAACTATTCAGTGTTAGCCTCTCAGCTAGGGCTTTGTTATCAGTCTATTTACACACCCCTCTTAAAAGTCTGAGTGTATTCTTTATACTTGTCTGACAGTGCTGTGGCTGGGACATCTGGTACAGTGTTGAACAGCAGTAACATTAACAGGATCATTTCTCTTCCTGGATTTGATGAGGATGCTGTGTGATGTGTATTTTTCATAAATTCCCTGTTTCAAGTTACAATCCCTTTTACTCCAAATTTGCTAGCCTTTTTTTTTTTTTTTTTTTTTTTTGGTAAAATGATAAACAGGTGTTGAACTCTGTCAAATGTTTTCCTGTATTTACCAAGCTGGTCATGTGGGTTTTTCCCCCAGTTTAGTCATATGATGAATCACCAGTTTTCTGGTATTGAATAGGTTTCTGTGTGTTGGTGCTGTGGAATACTCCATATAGATTGGGAATTGCCTGATAATTCCTGGCAGGTTTTATGTTCTGGAGAGACCACTGTGCCCGGGCTGCCCAGTGCATATTCTGGTGGTTGTGTTTCCCCACAGAAAGTGCTGAGATGAACTGGACTCCAGGAGGTGGGCTTAGAATTGCCATCTTCATATTTAACAAATTCCTAAAATTAGAATTACTAATTCTTTTTTATTTATTTTTTATTTATTGGAGAGGCTGAGTTACCGTGGGAGGGAAAGACAGGAAGAGTGCTTGTTCACTCCCCAAAATGGCCACAATGGCATGGCTGGGCTAGCCTGAACCCAGGAGCTTGGGATTCAATCCAACTCTCCCACGTGGGTGCCGTGTATTTTTGATACAGATATTTGAGCCATCATCCACTGTTTTCCCAGGTGCATTAGCAGGGAGTTGGATAGCAGGTGGATCAGCTGGCTCTTGGGGTGGCGTTCCAGTATGGGATGCCAGTGTTGCAAGCGGTGGCTTGACCTCCTACACCGTAATGCTGGTCTCACACTGAGTAATTCTGATGCCAGAAAAACTTCACAGTTACATAAGAATTTTCATAATCTACAGTGGCACTCTCCAGTAATGGACATATTTTCTCCTCTGTGCTGCCTAGAAGGATAACTACTAGCCACATGTGACTCTTGAGGACTTGAAATGAGGTTAGTGCAACTGAGGAACTCAAATTTTATTTTCATTTTAGTTTATATTTCATTGGGCACTTACAGCTAGCAGTTTTTCTTTCCTGCAGCGCAGACGTAGAGTTCAGACCCCATCTAATTCTCTAGCCTTTTTCCCACCATCGCTTGCATCTCTACTGCTCTAACAGTATCTAGTTACTTGATGTTGTACAGTTGTACTCTGTTTATGTTCTCTGCCAGTGTGTTTGCGTCATCTTTACCAGCCACCTGGCCACTGTGACTCACTCCTTAGCACTCTGTTCAGATGTGGTCAAGTCTTGAAGCCTCCTGCCCCAGCCTTCCTCCCCAGCAAGAGTTAGGGGTTTCCTCTCCCGCGTCTTCATTGCGCTGAGACATCCAGTGCACTGCGATTACTGCAGTCACGGCCTACTCCTCCGTTAGTGCTTTCAGGATAGAGCTCAGATGTTACCATTTTGCTCTCACACACAGGCATCTGGTGGGCGCTCAGAAAATACTTGTACCAGGAGTAATAAATGATCAGTAGCAATGGGCATGGTAGATTCATGGGGCAGTGAAGGACATCATGTGGCTGCAGAGGAGAATGGGAACTGGAAGGAATGGAGAACCGAGGCCACGTCATTTAAGTGAGGCTCTTTAAGACCAAGAGAAGCTGTTAGGTTGTCTTCATTCAGTTGGAAAATGCACACAACTAGAAGTGTAGGGCTGGGTACTAGCATCATGTTAGGGAAGAGTGTCTTGTAACTGCTGTCTGGTTCAAAGCCAGTAGGACATCCCGTCAGGGATGTCAGTGGGGAGACTTGGCCACAGTTGAAGTGTGTGGTGGTGAGATTCTGGGTCAAGAGGGGTTGTGCCACCGATCACCCCAGATTGCCGTAAACCTGACTGATTGTGCGATAGCTTCTCTCTAGTCACTTTGCAGGCACACTCGAGGCTGAGGGATGTTCCTGGGAGATAGCTGCATCCCTCTATAGGAAGGCTCCTTGCTAAGGAAATTGAAGTCTAGTTCCACGTGCTAAGTCTATGTGTGGGAGCAACACTCAAGCTAAGCAAAAGAACCTTTTGTGTGACCTTCTCAAAGGAAAATTGAGTAGATACAGGAAACCAAGAATTTTCTAATGAGCAGACAGAAAATAGCAAATTAGATGAGAAGTCAGTGTTAGAGAAATGAAAGATGTGGTGGGCTTGAGAACAGAGATAATTATTGGATGTATTCATTTTCACGAGTAAAATGTAGAGAAAATAAGCAAGGACTTGGATTTACCCCACAGTGTAGGGCAGGGTGATGAGGGAGGCTCAGCCGTAGTGTCCATGGAATGGGAGAGATGGGCGACTGCTGAAAATTAAGGAGCAATAAACAGAGAAGAAATGTGGGCAGCAGGCATTCCGCATTGCTTGGAAGGTGGTCAGTGAAAGGCAGGGAGAAGAGGTCAGCACAGTAGAGGAGCCAGCATGATCCTGTGGAAGTCGTCAAGGCAAGGTGGAGGCAGAAGAGGCAGATCTGGGGGAGGGCGGGCAGCTCAGCGGTGTTTGCCAGCAAAGAGCTGGTAGGGATGTTAGCCTGGAAGGGTGAGACGATGCTTGAGGAGCTTGAAGGATGCGGCGAAGTGGAGATACTACAAAGTGCACACGTGACCGGAAGCACGGAATGGGGGGAGTCATGGTGCGTGAAACACGACGTGCACAAGAGTAAGCATGCGCTTTTTCCTGCAGCCAGCAACATGAATGGAGTACCCTGTGAAAGCGGAGGAGGTGGAGTTAGTGGACCAGGTGCTGGCAGTAGCCAAAAAACTCCGCTGTTTGAAACGTACTCAGATTGGGACAGAGAAGTCAAGAGGACTGGTGCTTCCGGGTGGAGAGTGTGTTCTGTTAATGAGGGTTACATGGTATCTACTTGGTAAGTACAGTTTGACTGCTGTTAAGCTGGGGGTGACTTCCCTATGACGTGAATAATCAAACTCTGCTGTAATGGATAACTTTCAAGTTATGGGCAGTGGAATCTTTGTTTTTAATAGTTTTAATGAATATTTTAAAGATAAGGGTTTTTTTTTTTAACACATACCATTATTCATTGAAAAAATTTGGCAGTTATTCTTTACTATTATCAATAGTCTAGCCAGTGTTTGTTTGCTTTTATGTTGTTAACTTGTGCAGTTGGTTTGTTCAGACAGGGTTCAAGCAAAGTATAGAGGTTCCATTCGGTTGGTATGTCTCTTCAACCTTTTAATACACAATTGTGTTCCCCCATTATTTTTACTGACCGTATTTTTTGGTTGACAAAGCCAAGTCATTTGTGCCATAGAACTTTCCATACTTCAGATGCTGCTGGTTTTATCCCTGTGGTGTCCTTTAACACATTCCTTTGTTTCCTGTATTTCCTGTAAAGTGTTAGCTCTAGAGGCTTCACTGGATTCAGGTTAGATGTTTTTGGCCACAGTGTCTCATTTGGAGGTGGTGTGTGCTTCCTGTTGGATCAACTTCTGTCTGAGACTGGCTCAGTGTGTGTGTGTGTGTGTGTGTGTGTGTGAAGAAGAATATGTGACTATGTGTATGTGCACACGTGTATATATGTGTGTGTACACACACATGTGTGTATATGTGTGTGTGTGCACATGTGTGTGTATATGTGTGCGTGTGTCTTTCAGTTGCTTTTTCATTGTGATGCTGGCTGACCCAGGGTTCTAGGCTGTCAACCTGACCCATCCAGCATAGTCTTCCAATTTATGTTAAGATTTTAGCTGCAAAAATAGTGTTCTTTGGGAGTGAGAATCATTGCCTAGATCGCTTACTTCATTAGGGGTTGCTGTTAATCATATTCCAATTCTGTCATTTTTCTTTCAGACCTTTTTTCTGACCAGCCACTAGTACCCTGAAATACAGGTTATGTAATAAGAAAGGCAGGGTAGGGGCTGGCATTTGACCTGAAGGTTAAGATGCCAGCGGGGATGCCCACATCCTGTATTGGAGTGCTAGGGTTCAAGTCCTGGCTGTGTTCCTGATTGATTCCATCTTCTTACTAATGTGAACCCTTGAAGGCAATGATGATGGTAGGTGGGTCCTTACCACCCACGTGGGAGACCTACCTTGAGTTCCTGCCTCTTGGCTTCTGCCTGGCTCAGCTCCAGCTGTTGTGGGCATTAGGAAGTGAGCCCCTGGGTGAAAAATACCTCAGTCAACCTCTCTCTCTCTCTATCTCTCTCTCTCTCTCTCTCTCCCCCCCCCTTCTTCTTTCCCCCTCTCTCCCCCTTCCCTTCCCTCCCTCCCTCCCTCCCCCTCCCCCTTTCCACCCCTCCGCCTCTCCCGCTCTCCATCTCCCTCTACCTTTCCCTCTCTCTCCTTCTCTCCTTCCCTCTCTCACTCTTACTCTTTGCTTTTCAAATAAATAAATAAATTTTTAAAAAACAGAAAGGAAGTATAAATCACTACTTTTTTCCTCTTTCCAGTTTTCAAAATATTGAACTGGTTTCCTAGAATCCCCAAACATAACCAGGAATTTCTTTTTAAAATATGTTTAATATCATTTAGTATATATGATTTTTTTCTGGATGCTTTATTTTAAGACTCAAGTTCTCTGCAGCCTATCAAAACAAAAATGTGTATGTGTTTCAATAACTGCTTGCATATTTGATTAATAGTCATTCTGGAAAAGATTTCTGATACCTTCTTTAGATTTTTCTCATGCTGCAAGTTAAATTGTGTGAGAATTGGCCACGTGGCACATGGTGTAGCGTGTAATGCCTAGGACCCTCAGTGACCCCCATCCCTCCACGTTGCTGTTCGTGGGGGTGCATGTTAAATGGGATAAGCGTGTTTAATTACAGGTAGCGTTTATAGAGTGCACTGTTCTGCCTTCAGCACAATACTCTGATTAGGATCTTTTTTCTTTTTTTTTGTCTTGCAGCCTTCCAGAATACTTTGTAGTGCCAAGTTCTTTAGCAGACCAAGATCTAAAGATCTTTTCCCATTCTTTTGTTGGAAGAAGGATACCGGTAAGTGCCTTCTGTTTGGCTTCCTTAGCACTGATGTCCTCTGTCTCCACCCCCCAGTCAAGTAAGGGGTCTGCCTCTTTCCTAGCTCTGGTGTTGGAGCCACTCAAACGGCAGTGCCCTTGTGCGAATGGCCCTCATCAAGGATGTGCTGCAGCAGAGGAAGATTGACCAGAGGTGACTGAGATACGGTCATTGTTGTTTTAGATATTGTACTTGTCATAACTAAGTATACAGTAAATTCCTTGTTAATTGAAAATACTTGGCAAGTGGCATAGTCTTATTATTAACACCATATATGCTATATAAGAATTGCCATTTTGAAGAGATTGTGAATATGGTTACTAACATTTAAGTTATACTAAATATAATTTTAATTCTTTGGCTTTATAAGGTACTTGAGGATCATACATTACTGACATCTTGCTGTAACGTGGCATTAATACACTTTCACAGTGCTGGGGTGGGTGTTGTACAGGGGGTTAAGCCACCATTTGGGACACCCACATCCACTTTCCAAGTGCCAGCTCAAGTATTGGCAGTTCTGCTTCTAATCCAGCTTTCCGTTAATGCATCCTGCCTGGGAGGTAGCAGATGGTGGCCCAGGTGGTTGGGCCCCTCCCACCCGATGGGAAGCCCGTATGGGGTTCCAGGCCTTTGTCCAGCCCTAGCGGTTGGGGGCTAAACCAGCAGATACTAAGGTCTCTCTGTCTCTGTCTCTCTGTCGCTCTGACTTTCAAGTAGATGAAAAATAAAAAAACCAGTGCTGTGAGGTCCAATTGAGTGACTTCAGGACAAATCAACTTTTCTTGTATTTATTGTGTGTTATTTTTGTCTTACAAGGTCTACGTAGTCACAGTAGCTAGGAAATGCTTTTGATGAGCCACTGCACATGAGCTTGGCAGCATCTGCTGAAGTCGTTAGTGACTTGTCCCTGAAGCAGGGGCCCTCAGTTCCAGCAGTAGCTGCCACGCTGTGGACCGCTCACTGGGCAGCGCTCTGGGCCCTCAGCTGCTGTCCCCCTCCGCTCCTGCAGCCCTGTTCCCGTGGGCACACCCGTTCTTTCCCCAGACGTCGCCTAGAGGCTGTCTAAGGCCACTTCCTCTTCCCAGTCTGTATTTTACCCTGAAGAAGTGCATACAGGGCTGTGGCTTTAGTGACCAGTACATTTATTTCTCCAGTCTAATTTTTTTTTTTATCTTTTATTTAATGAATATAAATTTCCAAAGTACGACTCATGGGTTACAATGGCTTCCCCCCCATACCGTCCCTCCCACCCACAACCCTCCCCTTTCCCACTCCCTCTCCCCTTCCATTCACATCAAGATTCATTTTCGATTATCTTAATATACAGAAGATCAGCTTAGTATACCTTAAAGTAAGGATTTCAACAGTTTGCTCCCACACAGAAACATAAAAGTGAAAAATAATAGATGATTTTTTTTAAGTGATGATGAAATCAGATCAGACCTATTGTCATGTTTAATCCCAGTGAGAG